GAGGCTGGAGAGCCATCCGCCGGTAGAATCATCTCGACTATCCATGATGACGCAGGTATCATCATGTCGAGCGGCGATAAGCTGGAGAAGATGAAGCACATCCAATTCAAAGGCCAAACCGTGTACGTGGGCGATAGCTGGACAGACATCGAATGCTTGCTCGCAGCTGACTTGGGGATCTGTATCCGAGACGAACCCATGGGAAGTTCGCAGAGAAAACTTGCAGAGTCGTTGACAAGATTGGATGTATCATGCCCGCATTTAACCGACTGCACAGAGGTTGACGAGTGGGGAGTTGTATGGGCGAGGGACTTTGCGGAGATTCAAGATTGGATTGCCAGCAAGTCATCGTAGACTTGCAATTTAAACGAACACTACCAGTGTAATACATCCCATGTTTCAACTCCAGACGCGCACGCTATGTGATAACTTCGCTCAAGCCTCCGTCTCAACACCCGCTCCATCCCTCTCATGATGATGGAACATGTGTCCAACCTTCTTCTTTCCACGATCACCGACATGCTTCATCCATGCCAAAGTCCTCGGTCCTTTCCATTGCATCATGCCCCTATGCTTGCGATGCAGAGCGTGTGCACTCTCCCTGTAGTCCTTCATTTTGCTGATAGGGCCGCTGGTACCGTCTGTACTCAATTTCGAGTCGATCCTTTTACCGCCATCTTGAAGGAAGTCTGGAACAAATTTCTTCTTTTCAGGATCCTCACCGTCGTCTTCAGAATCGGAGCTGTCGGAGGACGAGCTGTCGTTGTCAGTCTCTTTGTTGTCGTTGATACCGGGCTTGTCGGAGCCTTCCGAATCATCCCAGTCGGTCCACTCATGGTCATTGGTAACTTCGAGAACTTCCATGACGTTGGAGATGTGCTTGTCGCCCTTTGCGAGCTTTTCGTGGTATCCTGACAGGCCGGACCAAAACGTCAATGTTACTTCGATCTCGCCAACCTTCTCACCATATGTTTCAAGCACATTGTTTTCTGCGCGCTTCAAGTCGCCACTCCAGATGGGGATGCGTACTGTCTGTTCCTCGTTGTCGGGAACATCTTTAAGCCAAAGGATACCAAAACCCGGGGTGTGGTCTCGGAATGTGGCATCTTGTCGGAATTCGAATACCAATGGCGCACAGTAGCGGGCCCGCACAGGTAAGCGAATGCACTTGTCCTTCGTCGTAGTCCAGATAGTCGAGCCACCCTCCGAGTGAACTTTGCCATTTCGTCCCCGCGAATGTAATTTTGCACGTTCTAGTGGAGTACGAACCTTGAGTCGAAGAGGCTGCAGATGTTCTGGAACGTCAATGGACTTTATGCGGGGATTGATGTCCACGGTCCCGTAATCCCAACCAAGCATGCTTCGTGGTAATTCGACTTGCGCGCTTCGGAAGACCATGGAGATTCTGACCCGACCATATCCAACTCCTCCAGCGAGTGGGAACATGTGATTGATCTGACTGCGCTTTTGGAAGACCCTTTCTAGAGGCAGGTAGACGATCCCAAGCAAGGCGTCGTCTTCGTGTACGCGAGCATCCCGAACGGCAACGTGTACTTCAGTATTGCGAACATCTCGGATAAAGCGCTCGCAGCCAGCGTTGAAGAACGGTTTCGAGTTCTTTGGCTTGGTACGTGTCTTGAAGATCTTCTTGTGGTTGAGGATAATGGTACAGTATGAAGAGGGTAAGCCGTCGCCTTCTTCCTCTTCGTCGGTTGCCTCCGCGTTTGCAGAGTCTTTCTGCTTGTTCAACGTTTCCAGTTCCAAGCCGGTGATTTGGTGGATCTGGATACTGAGTATACCCGAAGGGTAGTCTTCGGAGGGCGGAGACGCGATAATGAGCTGGTCTTGCCGAGCTTTGAACTCCTCGGACTTTTGCTGTTCCACTTCATCGCGATGGTCCTCACTTGCTTCTCGAAGTTTGTTCTCTGCCTCCTTGTACATCTTCTTCTTCAGCTGGTCTATGTTCTTGACATCCTGGTCCTCATCTTGCATCGCAAGCTGGTCATCAGTTATTCGGGTCTTGGAGAAGTAACCCAGGCTCCAGCTCAGCTTTCCTGGCATCTCGTCCCCGCGTTTGAGGGCTCTGAAACCGTCCTCGCGATCGTGCATCTTGCCGTTGGTCTCGTCGCTCTTCATCAACTCTTTGAGGTCGACTTCGATACGTCCCAGGTCGTCATCAGCAGTTGAACGGTCAGAATCCCACAACTGTAGCCTCAGTTTCTCGTCTACATTCAACTGGTCAAAGGTGACGCAGACGAAGCAGTGCTCATCCCAATGCGGATTCATGTTATCCTGGAGAACACGTGTTGACCACAGCGGCTTTCCGAATTTGGCCCATCCCACGCTCACGTAGGGATCTGCAGAGCCTCCAAAAGGACCGATCTTGGTATCGCCATGTTTGAAGTCAAACGCGTACTTGATGCGCACCATGATAACTCCCTGTGCAAGGGTATCCTTTTTGAAGTCGTCGCCCATCATCATGTCCTTGAGGTCTAGAGTCAAAGATTTAGGCGCGACATACTCAGCCAAAGCTGCATCCATGGATGACTGCACGAAGCTGGAGATCAAAGGTACATCCATGAGGTTCGGGCCCTTCTTTATAAGCGGCACACACGAGAGAGTGACCTTGGGTTGCCCCATGAAGGACATGGTGCAAATCGAGAAGAATGGAGGATCAGGGCACAGCTGCAGACGGAAGCGCATAACACCAACTATGCCCGCGAGGTCGACCCAGACAGCTAAAACACGTAAGCAGCTGAGCGCTTAATGAGAAGGTCAGACTTACGTATCTTGAAGTTACCTGGCATGTAGAACGCCAACAGTATGTGGGCATGTTTGGCGCGCGACTTGATACCCTTGCCCGTGGATGGCCTGTATGCGAATGCAAGTTCAACGTTGACGAAGTCTCCGTCTTCTGCTTGCATGTCGTCTTGTTGTTCGTCGTCTTGGCCGTCACCATCGTCATCACTTGTTTCGACAGTCCGGTCACCTTTTTCCTCATCCGGAGACTTTAGGTTTCCATCGGAGCCTACTGATCTGGCAGCCCCACCTGTTGGAAGCCATCGAACGCCGAGGATGCGGAGGGCCTCACTACCCTGGCCAAGATCTTCGACAGCCACCATGCGAACCATACTCGGAAGAGAGGCTTGCATGACATCCTACAAAAGTTAGTGTTTGTACTGAAATTACTGTCGATTACGTACCTCAAGCGTGTCTGAAATGCTGGTGAATAGATCCGGGTTGATCAACGGCCATATTGAAGCCATCAACGAATTGAGCCACTGTGTGCTTTCCGCAGTTTGGGTCTTGGCCAATCTCTGGCCCTTTTGTCGCTCCGCCTGCCAAACCTCGACATCCCAGACATTCTTGATTTTGTTTTCTGACCACTGTCGCATGAAGAGTATGATTGCTGTCGAGACGAGTGCCATGACGCTGAGTTCAGCGGCCTTCCATGCCTGTCTCCCCCAGCCGGTGGCATGGCGTGTCGGCCAGAATAATGTGTTGACCAGCATCAAGCTAACCGCAGCTGCTCCCACGCCAGCGGTCACAGCCTGCATGTACACGGTTGTAATCTCGCCTCGTGTCCTGTCAAACGACGGAGGTGGAAACAAAACTTGCATACCCGTATGCGCGTCTTGCGATTCCTGCCCTTCGTTCTCGAGATGTTCGTCGCTCTTGTTGATGGCGTCTTTACCGGTCATTGTACGTGGATCGGACCCTGCAGCGCTCGGGTTCTTTGCGGTGCTCTTCAGCTCTCGGTCGGTATAGTCGTGAATCTTGATGGGTAGATGGGTGATGGGATCTGTGACTTCGCGATCTGCACCGTCGGCTTTGAACTTCTTCATATCCTTCCGGGCCTGCTTGGGATCTGAAGATGTTAAGCCGTCCTCTGTTGTATCCTCGAGTCCATCTTCGTCGCCTTGATCTTTGGCCAGATTCTGGTCCTTCTGTTCGGGTGTGTTCTTTCCGGCGTGGTCGTCTGCAATGGGCTCGTCTTGCTCGATGTTCTTGTTCCTGACTGGGTATGGCCCATTGCCGTCGTTGTCCAACTCAACGTCTCTTCCATGTCTGAAGACATTGACGGCGTCCCCTAGCCGGTCGCGTGTGCTCGGTTCGTTACTGCCATCTGGATGACCGTACTCGTCTTGTCTTCTTTGCTTCTCCTCCCTGTATTTCTGGACCGTAGGTATCGGGTTATGGGCGTTGTGTGGCCGTCGGTAGTCCTTACGCCGGGCCTCTACGTCCTCGACACCGGACATGATGAAGCGGCGCGGACTGGATTGTGTCGGTAGTGGTAAAGGTGGTTCGATGAGCAGCGAGTGGTGGACCCGGCCAATTAGTGGTTGGGGGTAGTGTACAGTCGTGGATTCATTAGTCGTGTGAGATCGTGAGTCGTGGGAAGGCTTGCGAAACCTGTCGCATTGGCAGTGGAAACAGGAAAAGCGCTAATACAGGGAATGTTCTGCTCTGATCGCAATTGACGTAGGTACAAGCAAGGGACATGGGAAAAGCCCGTCTTGCATGATCCACTTGGCGCGCTGGCCTTGAAGCGCCTGCACTTGCAGCGCCGAGGATCCGGGATGAAGACTGGCCCCGCATGATGCCCGTGCATGCCCAGGTGATGGTCTGCTGGTGGTGCTTTCTGGCGGTGACGTCACAGCTGCCCGCACTTACGCGTTCGTCAGGCCACTGCCACCAGCCACCACCGCCGCAATCGGCAACATTATTTTGCGGGGGTGCCGAGAGCCGGACGATCCTGGCGGTTACCGCACGACTTTACCTTAGCCTCCGCTTAAGCCTCACTTGCAGCTTCTAGCATGCTTCAAACGTGTACAGATTCCTATTTCCAAGGCTTCTAGACGTCGAAGCTTACGCTTAGTCCATAGCCAACGCAGTTCAAGTCGTCAGCGTAACCACGGCAGACCAAGGAGACACAAGTGGCATACTCGCACCAAGGGTATCATTTTAACTTCTACTATGCTACTGGGACCACGTCTCGATCAATTGCTCCATATTCGCACTTGCTTGTCGGCGCCACCACTTCCTACCCTTTCACCATCCGGACTCCAATCCAGCGCAAATACCTGGTCCTTGTGCCCTGGCAGGTCCTCCTTTAGTTTACCAGTCCTCATGTCCCACACCTTCAGAGTCGTGTCTTTGCTGCAACTCGCCAACAGTCGGCTATCGGCGGAGAAGCAGGTCATGTATACCGGCCCAACGTGCGCTCTCAATGTGTTGAGGAACTTTCCATCTCGTGCCGACCACAGTTTGACGTGGTTGTCCCATGCTGCAGACGCCAGGAGGGCACCGTCTGGGGAGAAAGTGACCTGGTTGATCTGCTTTTGATGGCCTGTCATTCTGGTGACTGGCTTCGTACTGGTCAAAGGCGTCCATAGGATGATGGTGCAATCTTCCGAAGCAGTCGCTAAGCGTTCTACTACTTCGCCGTTGATGGTAGCGGCCTTCTCAAAGCGCGCTTTGGCTTTTGCGAGCTTCTCCTCCGGGCTAGACGGTACCTTCCGCGTGTGGTCGTGATACGAGGTGCGCAGGACAAAGTCGGTAGAAAGTGCGAGATGGTTGACCCAATGCGCATGGCCAGATAGCGTGTTCACGAGTGTACCTGTCGCCGCGTCCCAGACCTTTATGGACTTGTCATGAGAGGCGGTATATATCCGTCCAGTACCACCCCACTTCACGCACGTCACATTGCTCTTGTGACCGGACAAGGCGTAGTCGATTCTGCCGCCAACCGCATCCCAGACTCTTACTGTACCGTCCTTTGATGACGACGCAACTCGAGGCCGGCCAGGCTCTTGCAGATGGTAGGGCTCCCAAGAGAGTGACGTGATGAAACTGGTGTGACCTTTGAGAGCACTCCCAATCTGTTTCCCAGTGCTCGGGTCCCATATCCGCACTTCGTTGTCGTAGCCACCGGAAGCAAGTAGAGAGCCATCAGGTGAGTAGCTGACTGCAAGGACCCATCTTGAGTGCCCCTTCATAGTATGCACTGGTGTTCCTGTGTCGCAGTCCCATATCCTCACTGTCTTGTCTCCGCTACCACTTGCCATCCTGCTGGAGCTGACTGGCGAAAAGTTTACTGACAGAATGTTGTCTCCGTGACCCGAAACCGCGGCTGAGCAACGCGAGACTGCCTTGACGCGGAAGACTGCCTGCGGCGCATACTGGAGCACGATCTCGTTTTCTGCTGACGCTTTGCCAGGCTTGACCAAGGCATTGTATAGGTCGTCCTTGTCGGCAAGCGCTTCGGTTGCGCCGTCTGGGAAGAAGCGGTACGGTATCTGATCGTCGGCTTGGTCTTTGAGGTTGTTGAGCAAAAGTTCGAGGTTCTTGGTGGATGCTTGCGATAACGGTACAGTGAGTACTGGGATACTCCCACTTTCGCCAGTGGCTTGGTCGACGAAGCGCACCCGTACAGTGCCATCAGGTATAGTAGTGTCGATGTCTTGTTGCTCGCGCGCAAATTCGGCTTGCGCGCGCTTCTGGCGCTTTGAAGGCGGTGGATACTGAGTCGCCATAGTTCAGATATCCTGCAGTACGATTTTCGAGTTAGTTACCAGCGTGGCAGAGCTGTTTCTTACTTGCGAAGGCCCCGCTGCTACCGTAAGAAGGGAAAATAATTTCTGGGCGTTATCGATAACAGACGCGCTAGCAGCCTGGGAACAGTGGGGCGGCGCGCTGACCTGTTCCTCGACGCGTCTTCTTCCTTTCATCTCGTCATTCGCTCACGCGCCTTCAACCCGCTCCAGAGCTGGAGTTGGTGACGTCCCCAATTGCTCAACGGCTAATCTCGCAGCGCTAACCATCATGTTCCAACGATCCAGGCCTTCAACCTCGCAGAGCAACTCCGGGTCTACATCGTATGGGTACTACGGATACGGTGACTACAACACGACTACTACGTCCCGACCAGGCACTCGCAGGAACACAGGGAGACCCTCAACTGCGCGACCGAGGACTGGGGCCTCTACTATCGCTAGGGTCGAGGCTCAGAACGTTGTCTGTGCCATTGCCGAGTCTCGTGGTATCTCACCCACTGTTGGCTTGGCTTTCGTGAATCTCGACACTGCAGAAGCAGTACTCTGTCAAATCTGCGATAGTCAAACCTTCGTTCGAACAGTTCACAAACTAAAGGTCTACGGTCCATCCGAGATTCTGATCGTGTCTACTGCGGCGAGCCCTAGATCAAAGCTCTTCTCGATCGTTGAAGAAAACCTCGAAGACATTGGAAGTAAGCTGACCCTGCTTGATCGCCGCTACTGGGCTGAGTCGACCGGATATGAGTACATTCAGTCTTTAGCGTTCAGAGAGGACGTCGAAGCAATCAAGATTTCCGTCACTGGCAACTACTATGCGGTGTGTTGCATCGCAGCAGTGAGTCCTTTGTTTGACTTCTGAGTGCTGTTCATAACCCAATTTATAGGCACTCAAGTACATTGATCTGGGCTTAGGTATGGTCTTCTCCGCTCACTCCCTTCGCATGAGATATGAGCCATCTGAAGGATCGATGATGATCGACGTGTCTACCATTTACTCGCTTGAACTGGTTCAGAATCTCCGCGATCCGAAGTCAAGAGATTGCCTATTTGGTCTTCTCAACGAGACATTGACGCCCATGGGAGCACGCCTTCTTCGGAGCAATGTCTTACAGCCACTCACGGAGCCAGAGGTACTCAACACACGGTATGCTGCAGTCGACGATATGACCAAAAAGGAAGAGTTGTTCTTCGCAACCCGGGCAGCGCTGAAGGACTTCCTCGATGCCGACCGCATACTGACTGCGCTGATTGTCGCTCCAAGCAAGACCACTCTGCAGACAACGGAGCAATCCATCAATCACGTCATTATGCTCAAGCAATTCGTCAACTCCGTAAGCCCGGTCTTCGAAGCCCTTACTGGGACTGCATCTGTCATGTTGAACAACATCCGCGAGATATGTGCCCCAGAGAACGTCGCACCTGTCCAGGAACTTATCGACCGTGTCATCAACGAGGACACCACTTATGCAAGGCAGCCTTTGGAACTCAGGAACCAGCGCACTTACGCCGTGAAATCTGGTGTGAATGGGCTGCTTGATGTTGCGCGTACAACTTACAAAGAAGCTACTGAAGATGCGTACCAGCATTCAACAGAGCTCAGTCGTGAGATACAATTCATCGTTTTCAGTAAACCTACTCACTAACTTCGTGAAGAGGAGTGCGATATTCGGCTAGACCTCAAATACGATACGGCACGCCAGTTCTTCATGAAGATCGCAACAACCGAGCTGGAAGGCAAAGCACTACCGCCGATATTCACCAACATCATTCGCCGCAAGAACAACATCGAATGCCAGACTTTAGAATTAATGAAGCGTAATCAGAAGGCATGTGGCTACATGCAGTGATTCGGGCTTTGCTGACCACTATCAGATCGCCATGTCGCACCAAGAAGTCATCCTCATGAGTACAGTCAAACTTTAAACGACGATGCTCCTGCTTACTAACCATCATCAGGCGATGAAGCGGTCGAGGCTCTCATCGATGAGGTCCGCAGTCATGTGTCTATCTTGTTCAAGATCTGTGAAGCAGTCGCGATGCTAGACATGGTGACTATGCTTCGACTGTCTGTCATGTTGATGAGGCTGACCGAGAGTAGATTGCGGCCTTCGCTCATCTGGTCACAGTGAATAACTACAGTGAGTAGCATCCGTTCCATGGCGCTCAACGTAAGCCAGGCTGATATCTCCTCAGCTCAGCCGCAGCTCACCGATACGCTTGCAATCGAGGCCGGAAGACACCCGATCAAGGAGAAAATCATGAAGAGCAAATTTGTCCCCAACGATGTCTATGCTACACAACAGACGCGGTTCCAGATCATCACTGGTTGCAACATGAGTGGCAAGAGCACTTATATCCGATCCGTGGCTTTGATGACAATCATGGCCCAGATCGGCTGCTAGTACGTTTGATTGGATTGCAAACTCTGAATTTCTGTGTACTAACTGCTTGCAGCGTTCCTGCTAACTATGCCTCATTTCCTATTCTGCATCAGCTGTTCGCTAGACTGGGCATGGATGACAACATTGAAACTAATGTTTCTACCTTTGCCGCGGAAATGAAAGAGATTGCCTTCATCCTACGCAATGTTGATCGACGTAGCTTGTAGGAGACCGATCCATGAGTGGGTACCTTATCATTGCTGACAGAAAATAGAGTCCTAATCGATGAGCTAGGTCGAGGCACCAGTACTAGAGATGGTCTAGCCATTGCGTTAGCTATCGCGGAAGCCCTCGTTTCGAGTCGTGTATGTGAATATGCCCCATTGCTGCCGCCTTCTAACGTATCACAAGGCTCTTGTTTGGTTCGCAACCCACTTCAAAGATCTTGCGACTATCATGAGTGACCGCGCTGGAGTTCAGAACCTACACCTGGCAGTTGAGGTGAGGGCGTTTCCATTCTTTCCACATCAAACCACTCACATTCTTAGATGGAAGACGCGCACAGCATGACGATGCTCTACAAGACCGCCCAGGGAGTCGTCCAAGAGATCCACTATGGCCTAACGCTTGCGCGTGTGGTTCCTTTCCCACCCGGGGTTGTGGAGCATGCTACCTTGGTTGCACAACAGGTCGAGCGTCATATGCTGCGAAAGAAAAAAGCATCCGAAACTGTGCTCAAGGAGAAGCGACGCAAGCTCGTCCTCAATCTCAAGGAGCATCTCGTTCAAGCACACACTGGTGTGTTAGAGGGGGAGGTTCTCACTGCATGGCTTAAGGAATTACAAAAGGAGTTTGTGAATCGTATGACTGCTCTGGAAGCTGAATCTGCAAACGCAGGTCAAGAGAGTGAGGACGAAGAAATGATAGACAGGAGCGAGCTGAGTGAAGAAGAGCGACCTAGCACGTCCGCCAGTCCGTCGGTCATATCAATTGACTCGCATACTAGCTCCACGGATTCTGATTCTACCATTCGGGCAATGTCAGAAGCATCTACTCTGAGAGCAGTCTCCAGTAACGAGCGCTAGCAGTAACGACCATATGCTCCTATGCCTGCTAGTAGCATGGGGAAGGGCTGATATACGTGTAGGCAAGAGATTGCTGTATAAAGGCCTTCAAAGCCCAGTGTGATCAAAATCAGAACTCAATAGGATAGTGATTGCTGATATACATCTGTGCATAACCAGAGTTACTCGTGAAATGACCCCAAGTTCAAGCGCGAAGCCCACAAGACTAGTATCATGGTCACAAAAGTTGATCCGGTGTCGATCTTGCCGAACTTGTGTCTGGCCCACTTAGCGCGTGAAGCATCGGATTCCAGGGTCATGATTGGAGGCGCTGCAAAGTGCGGGGGTCCTTATCGCTCCTTCTCCGATTAAATCCCTACTTCGGACGGAACAACTCCAGGGCTGCTGTCGGACCTTGCAACCTTATATAAGCGATCGTATACAGACCCTCATCGCGGCAACCGTCCTGTCGCTCGTTAGAGCGCGCTAGGTGAACGCATGCAGTGCAACCAACCCAACACCTTAGTACCCGGCACCCCGGTGCACTGCTGCTCGTCACCCAAAGGCTACCCCAGCCTGCCGAGTCGGCCCCGTATGGCATGGTCTTAGCGTGGTGTTCACCAGCCGCGCGAGCATCAGCTTCAGTCATCATTTGCACTATCTTTGCTTTCCCTGTCAATCTAAATCGCCATGCCTCGACCAAAGAAACCCGGGGTAGAACCTAAAAGAAGATCGCGAAATGGCTGCTGGTATTATCCTAGATCAATGGAGTCTGTTCATTCTTACTCACCAAACACAGGCCGTGTAAAGCTCGAAAGGTCAAATGGTAAAGCAGTTCTAATCGTGGTCTCATCAGAGAGTACTAATAGCATCTCACAGTGGAGAAGAGAAGCCAAGCTGTACCAACTGCGAGCGCCAAGGGGAAACATGCGACTACAGCATAAGACTCAACTGGGGAGGCCGTTCAAAGAAAGATAAGACAAGTACAGCCTCTGATGCTTCGAGTGCAGCGTCTGGCAGTCCGTACCAGTCCTCCTTCCCATTTGAAGAGAACGTTTTCTCGTCTGCCCCCGAACACCCCGTGCAATCACAACATGCACGATCAACATCAAGAACATCCCCACCTAGATCTACGCATTCCATTGATCCAGCTTTGATGCAAAAGCCGTATGATGCCATCCGTACTGAAGCGTCGGGTGCGGACATCTATCTTCAAACCCAAACATTCACGTCCGTTCCCTACAACCATACACAGTATCAGAGTACTGTTGACGCTCGGTCGCATGTCACGTATGATTCGGCTGCCCCCAACTCCCGTAACGCTGGGCTCACATATGCCAATCCTACGATGCCGCTGCCACTGCCGGGTTCAGTGGATTCGATGGCCAAACGCCAGCAGTATGGCTTCTCTACAGACTCGAACACACCAACGTTCCCAGACACAAATTCGCCAAACACACTTTCACCAACGCCATACAGTCCATACTCGGCTATGCCGCTAACACCGATGTCAATTGGCTCTGAAGGAAACATTATGCAAACGTCATCAACACCGCAAAATTCAGCACAATCACCGCCGGATCTCCGTCGTGTGTCTGTCCAGTCTCTCATCAATGATCTTCCAAGAAAGCGATCACGGCCTGCCGGTGACGAGGTCGGACGTGGCCGACAATATCCAATTGCTGATTCTGCTTTCACCACCTACGGATACGACTTGGGTCTCCCTGATATCGATACTCCGAGGAATGACGACTTTTCTGCTATTGCCATCTTCAGCCCACAAAGCAACACCATGGGGTTTAACGAGGACACACCGTATGGTAGCGCTGATCCCCACGGCAAAGACATGGCCTTCGAAAGCGGGGGTTATTATGCAAAACCAGTTCCGATCAGGATTTCGAAGTCTCTAGAACCACTGCCTTCACTGCTCGTAGAGAACCAGATGAATCTCCTGTACTTCCATCACTTCATCAATCACACAGCGCGGGTTCTTGTCAACCATGACTGCGAGCGGAATCCGTTTCGAGAGATTTTACCAGAGAGTAGGTAAACGTTAATCTTCATGGATCATTGTTAACAGTGGCAGTGGCTGTACAAGACGAGAACATAATGAATCTTCTTCTCGCATATAGCGCTGCACACCGAGCACGCATGCTCAATCACCCCGAGCCCTCAAATCGCATCGCCGTCTGGGTGCAAGACGTATTCCCCAAGCTACGTGAAGCGCTCAACGATGACCCCAACACTGTCTCCGACAGTACTTTAGCAGCAGTGATAATGATGGCGAGTCTGGAGGTTATATCTTCTGGAACATTCGAGGTACCCGTATCCTGGCAAAGCCATCTAACCATGGCGCGGCAGATGATCATCCAGCGTGGCGGGCCAAAGGGCATGGGGCGGCATGATCGTGTGGCCTACTTCCTTTCGCGCTGGTTCGCATACCTGGACGTCCTCGGATCATTGAGTGGAAACAAGAACGACACACCTCTTGGCTCTTTCTACTGGTCTAGCGAAAATGCTTCCGCGGACGAAGATTTTGAGATTGACTGTCTAATGGGTTTTACAACAAGATGTGTGGGATCTTTGGCTCGCGTTTCTGAACTAGCGAAGCGCTGTGAACCGCAGCGCATTGATGAAGAAGGCAATGTAAGGGAGGGCTGGACTCCTAGCCCTGAGATTATAGAGGAAGCCATTGAGCTTCGTCACGCACTGGACGAAGGCTTACTAGGCCGCAACATCAGGAAAGGATGCAACCACCGCTCGAGTACTTCCTCTGAGTCTGAAGGTGCATGGGATGCAACCGAGATCTACGCGACCAACGAATTATTCCACTGGGCAGGTCTAATCCACTTGTATCGTCGCGTTCTCGGAAAACCCGCCATGGACCACGAAGTTCAGCAAGCCGTGCGAGAGATTGTGGGCCTACTGTACAAGATCCGGAGAGGAAGCACAGCAGAGGCATGTTTGATCTTTCCCATGTTTGCTGCTGGCTGCGATGCGCAAGACGAAGGACAGAGGGAGAAGATTATCGAGCGGCTGAGGAGTGTGGAGGGCTTCGGACTGAACCATGTAAGCTTCTGTTATCAGAAAGTAAAGACTGACTTGCTTACTCCGTATTAGGTGCCCAAGATCAGTACGCTCATGAAGAGCGTCTGGGATACCGGTAAACCGTGGGAGTCGCTCGTCTCTGGCGAGTTCTTCGGTTGAGAATGCCTTTGTGAAGAGATATTGCAGTGCCAAGGTCCACGAATCGATGCGATGACTATGACGAGTCACCACAGAGTGCTAGTGATGCTGCATTCATGTCAATCTTATAAAAGAACCCGACAGCATGGCCATTTGGTGGATCGATGGAAATGACTTCTGGGCAATGAGGCTTGCACTGCCCATGTAGAGTCAGCGCAAAGATGGCGTCCGTCGACTACACGCCCTCGACGCCGAGCATGAGAGATGCGATAGACTGGCCAATCTAAGGATCTGAAAGACGAGAGTTTGATGGATTTGAGACTTGAAAGAAAGTTGGCGCGAATATCAGACTGATGCGATATTACGGCGAAGATAGCGTAGCACATAGGCATGAGCAGAGAGGCAGATCGACCGGCGACAACCAATCGAATGTAGGAATGCAGTATTTCTGAGGGGTATCATCCATCCATCTGATATACATATCATCATATTATGCAAATGCCCTCCATGAAGCCTCAAACCCTCTGACCCACCACACCAGCATCCACGCACCAAAATAACCACCCTCACCAAGGCCACCAACCCCCTCTAGCAACTCTCCCCACAGCCCTCGTCCCCTTCCCCACCTCATCAGCCCCCTCCCTAACCTCCTCCACAACCGCATCAACCGCCTGCCCAAACTCCTCCCTCTCCCTCTCCATCGCCTCCGTAGCCTGTCCCCACTTCTGCTGCGCCATCCACCGCTGTTTCTCAATCGCCTGCCGCAGCTCTTCCTGTAAATCGCGTATCTCGGCTTTTGTGTCGTGTGTCTCTTCGATGGTTTCGAGTTTGTACCACAGGTAGTAGGTGAGTTGGTATGTGAAGAGGGCGCCGAGGAAGCACTTTAGGAGGGGCGAGCCGAAGGTGCCGTAGTATGCGCTCTGTGGGGGGTTTGTTAGTAAAGAGGATAGAGGGAAGGTGGTTGTTGGGGTATGACGTACTACCCGCGATGGCTCTTTTGGCGGCGGTGCTGAGTTTGGGTTTGGCGGCGAGCTGGGGGGATGCGGTGCTGGTGTTTCGGCTGCGTATGTTCTTCGGGACGTATGGCCTATGCGATTGGGTATCGCGCTTCTACTCCATATCGACCGTGTTGCTCTGATGTGATTCATGGTGTCGTAAAGCTGCCAACTTTTGTCCCCGCTTCTGAGCTCGTTCGGTCGCCGCTGCAAGGTAGCCAGGTACTGCGCGAGGGGAGGTGTCGAAGAACGTAAGGTATGACGTTAATTTGTTTGCGAAAATGCGACACAGACTATTGCGCCGACGGTGGTAGAGCTCTCCACGTGCAAAGAAGCGCAGATGCGACAAAAGTCTCCCGACAGAAAACGGTATAAACCTCCGTCCACTATCTCCGCGAATCCAGCTAATGCCGGTACCCTAGCGCCGCCGCACAGACCCATGCGATGCACTTTCCAAAGGGAACACGTTCACCATACATCTTGAACCCTCATTTCCGCTTCTCTTCTCCCCTCTTACCAGACACTAGACGCTCGCTTCCTTTTTCCCGTAACCTTCCTGGTCCGCGCGATTTACAGCCACCTACTCGTTTCACGTACACAAACACACATCATAATGGTACGACACTACCCCCTTCGCGGCGCAATGGAGCGGCTCTCCCTCCTTTTGTCGCATACACACAACAGATGGAATAGGTAGCTAACCACCGCCGCCAATCCTGCAGGCGCAAACACCACAACAACGCCAGGCAAACATGCGTTTCGCCAAGGCGCAGGAGAAGAAGATGGGCAAGCCCGAGTCAACGGAGCCCGTGGTCAAGAAGAGGGCGCCTCAGAAGAGCCCCATTAGCAGGTTCTGGATCAGTACGTTCTTCTCGCCCCGTGGTCTATATTGTTAGATCTTGTAAGGACATGTACTGACTAGTGTCCCACAGTTGTTCTTGCTTTCATACTAGTCGGCGGTCTGCTCTTCGAGGTCCTTAAGCTCTTCTTTTAGAAAGCTGGGGTCATGCGACGCGATGCGATGTGATCGATTACCGGACGGATACGACTTGAACTTGATTTCGATTTCGATTTCGATCTTCCATACGTGGAGAAATAACACAAAGCACACATATATGCTGGGAGAGCGGATAAAAGGGAAAAGTTGGGAACAGCTTGGAGGAGCAACTTGGCTTTGAGGCCACTTTCTTGCGTCAACTACATAGGGCATACGGCGTTATAGAGGCATCGTTGCGGCATCAAGGGGACTTGGTATAGCCGATTTTGTGGTAGCAAATTACCATTGAGCATTTGATATCACATTTGTCCAAGACTCAGACACCCATCTGCAGCGTGCCTAGGCTACTACTCCTCCGGTGCATCGGCACCCTCATCCATGACCACAGTCCGCCTCTTCTTTTTCTTCTTCTTGACTTTGCCTTCTTCCTCGCCCTCAGCTGCGCCTTCGGCTGCGTTCTCGTCTTGGCCCTCAGGCTTGACCTTCTTCTTTTTCTTCTTCTTGATAGGCGCTGCTTTTTCCTCTTCACCAACTTCCGCTTCCGGTGGAGGCGTTTCGGCTGGCTCGTCTCCTTCCACAGCAACCTTTCTGACCTTTCTCTTCTTTTTCTTGACGGCAACTTCTTCTTTGACGTGTAATCTCTCGCTCGCTCGCTGCATTTCAAGCCGTAGTCGCTCGACTTCCTGGAGCGCCTTCTTCATCTCCGCGTCTTCCTGGGCCTTCCTCTCGACTTCGAGTTGAGTGAGCTTGCGATTTGATATGCCTTCGTCATCCAAGCTCAATGACCCAAGACCGGAGCTGTCCACCTGCAACAGCGATTTTTTTGTCTTCCCTGGACGTGGTTGCACGATGTCATCTCTCGAAGCGTCTGGTGCAGCAGGTCCAAGTGTCTCATCGCCCATGATGTCGACTTTGCGCACAGGCTTGCGCGGACTCCGCGATCGCGGTAGATGTTCAGACGATGACCCTTTGCTGTCTAGGTTGAGCTCCATAATTGGAATCGAATCGATGTCGAGCTCGTTATTCTCCCTATTGCCATCTCGCACTATCCTACTCAGTGGTGTGACTGCGCCGCTGCCCTTATCCGCTTCGGGGTCGATGTAGAACGGATCATCTTTGTAGCGTTCTTTTCTTTCAGCTTTCCGACGCGCAATGATATCAGCGTCCAGATATTCATCCTCCGCTGCGTTTTGGTATGATGTAGGTTCTTTATGCGGGGCATCCAGGCGATCCGCAGCCGGTGTAGCAACAGCAGGAGGCTCTGAGTACGCGGCTGCAGGCTCCGAATAAGCCGCATATACATCATCTTCCTCTGTCTCAAAGCCTTCTGCATCAGCTGTGTAGAGCAAATGCTGTAGGTTGGGATTGATTGGTGTATCCAGATCCAGATCTTTAGGTAAAGGAACCTTGCGTTGAGCACCAGGAGCGACCGGGTTAAGCTCAGCGCCAGAAAAGAGGGCAGGTATAGCTTGGGTAAGTAGTAGCGGTGGATCGGTGAATGCGTCCTGGTCCGCGCTAGCAGCTGTGCCTGATGCAGCTTCTGCAGCGAGACGCATGAGTTCAAGGTACTCAACTGCCCGTTCCTGGACTTCCAGACTAGGGTGTGTGGAGAGCGGCTCTAAAAAGTGGATAATACGTGCCATGAGAAGGGACATGAGCGTTTTGCGCTCTGGAGTCCATGAGACTTGATCGTTTCCAGCCATGCTAGAGAAGACCTTGGGTATCGCTTGCAGATATACAGCGAGCGTCCTCGAAGATAGTTGGAGAGAAGATGGGTGTAGCAGAGAGGTCATGACTGGCTCTGGGCGGGTGAGGTAGTTGGCGTACTCTCCAACCAGCCAGCCAGCGTATTCCAGTACACCTTGGCCGCCGTTTCCGGATGCTGGGAACATTTGGTCTCTCCGATCAACGAGCACGAGCGACTGTGCGGCATCTATAGCTTCTGATCGAACGCTCTTCACCCGAATGGCAACGTTCTGCAATTCGTGTCCGATGCCACCACCAATGTCGTCTGAATGTTCTATTTCTTCCTCCTCTTCCATAACCGAGGTTGCTTTTGTTGCTGGTGATACCCTGACTAGCTGAGTAAGTACATCAATGTACCATTCGAAGTCGGCAATGTTGCTGTAAGTATCGCGTGAACACATCTCCAGGATCCTCCGAATGACGCTTATCCTATAGTCGTCTGGCAGTGGTGGCGGCTGGTCGGATTTCTGTTCGTGCTGAGGCAGATTCTCTTCTGCGTCGGAGTCGTCGTCACCATAAGGTGATATGCCAGTCAGCCTACCTCGATCATTGTTGGGATCGCTCGCCGCTGAGGCAATTGGTGCATTTCGTAGCTGTCGCATCAGCCGTCCAACAATCGCTGTGAGGTTGTCTGCATTAACCATGCCAACCACCAGATCCAAAGCTCGCATTCGTATTGAGATATCGGGGTCGTCGATGCATTCGAGGATGACGTCTTGCTGCTGAGAAACCAAGTATGGATGTGAGGTGACGATCTTCTCGAACGCGAGTAGTGCGACATATTTTACTGCAGACTGATGAGAAGCCAAACGTTGAATAACAGTGTATATTAGCTTACAGTTTGCATCTCCCTCTATGATCATCATGCCTCGTAGTTTGCCAACACATAGCTTCGCTACCTCCTCACCTTCAGCAGTGCCTTCTACGGCTTCTAGGATACCACCCTGGATGATACCACTGATACATTCGTAAAGTAACGACATAGCAGACGTCTCCCGTATAATCTTGGTCAACGGAGGTAGCAGTTTCTTGATGAGTCGAGGTTCTAATGGGGTTAATGTTGCAAACTAAGACAGGTCAGTTGAATTTCTGGCGTTATGTCCTCTGAGCTCAGTGCTTACAAGTTTGATGAGCTTAATGGCCATCCAGTTGTTGCCTCCTTCTACCAAGAGATCAAATAGTCTCGGTGCAAGCGGTAGGAAGTCCTGTGGTCTCCTCCATCCCAGCTCGCACACGACGTTGACGATTGCTGCTGTGACACTCGCATCCTCATTGTCATCTAGCAAGCGCTCCTTGATCTTAGGCCATGCGGGTCGCAGTGTCTCTGGATACACAAGAGCCAGCCGGTATAGTGTTACGACGGTCTTCTTCCGGACCATTGCGTGCGAATGCGTCAGGCGCGGTATTAGGTCGGAGAGGACCGAGTTGGCCATGCTCGGGTTTATGACGTGTGGTATCGCGCCTAGCGGGAGGGCGATGTACTGGGGGCTCGAGCTCATGATGTCCTTCTTGAGCTGGTTCTCGGCGAGCACGAGGACTTCGGTATCCCGTCGAAAGCTCTGTACTGCGGCTAGGTAACCCGTGCGCTTCTGCTTGAACTTGGAGCTTGACATGACCTCGAGCACGTTGAAGCTGGCCCAAGACATGTCGTGGCCGAACATCTCGAGGTACGTGAGCTTCATGAGGGCCGTGGCCTTGAGGTCCATGTCGTTGGTCCGTATTTCCTTGCGACATTCTTTTATGCTCTCGGCGATGTACTCGCGCTCGCTGCCTTTGTGGTTTCGGAGGCCCCGAATGAGGTCGAAGAGAGATTTCTCGAACCTAGGGAACTGTTAGTCACGACACTTGTATGGAGATTTGGCGGGCACGACATTTTGGCGTGGCTCAGGCAGCGTCACGCAGTCGTGTGTCGAGGTGTGCAAGCGCGCGAGGAGGGGTAGGTGTGCAGCGTGAGGGTGAAGGTGGTGGGCGACTAGGCATCATCATTGGGAGGCGGTCGTCATGGCGGGCGTGTTTGGCGACATGAAAGCGGGCTCTAGTCGGTCGTCTGCAGGGAAAGCGACTGCTTGTCGGGTCGAGGCTGTTGACGTGCACCTGGAGTCCAGAGGCTCCACTACCGAACGCCCGCTAGTTTCGCCGGCGGAAGCTTGGGACAGGCATCCCCATCAGCTTACCTAACTCGACATGCTTCTCCAGACACTCTGTCGCCATTGACACGCACTCGACACCCCAAGTCGACGCCCGCAGCCGCCAGCATGACACAAGCCAACCTCCTCTCTCCACCCGCGCAAATACCACCGCCCACCGCCCTCGCCCTGTCCCAAAAAGCCCCCCTCGTCCTCTCCACAACACCAACGTCGACGCTCCCGTGGCCCCTCTCGCTGCTCTTCTCCCGCGAGACACCCGAAACATGGACCATCCACGAGAACCTCTTCCTGTCGACACTCCGCACCGGCGACGAGAATGCCGCCCTGTCAATTCTGCAGCGCCTCGAGGCCCGATTCGGCGACCACAACGAGCGCATCATCACATTGCGCGGCATCTACAACGAAGCAACGGCCCGGTCAGACGCCGAGCTGGAGAAAGTGTTCGAGGCGTATGAGAAGATACTCCGCGACGACCCCACCAACATGAGCATCCGGAAGCGGAGGGTTGCCGTGCTCAAGGCGCTGGGCAGGACCGCCGATGCCATCACCGCCGTGGCCGTGCTCCTGAAGAACAGCCCCACCGACTCCGAGGCATGGGCGGAGGCGAGCGAGCTGTATGCGAGCCAGGCAGCGTGGGGACAGGCGATATACTGCGCAGAGGAGGTTCTGCTCATCACGCCGAATGCATGGAGTGTGAGTACCACAGTGCCCCGACGATGCCATACGTGTACTAACCCGCGCTCAGGCTCACGCACACATTGCGACCCTACACTACCTCTCCACAGCCTCCAACAACCCACCCAGCCTCAGCTCCCTCGCCCTCTCACTAAAGCACTTCTGCCGCTCCGTCGAGCTCAACGACGCCTACCTCCGCGGCTACTACGGCCTCAAGCTCCTCACCACAAAGCTCAATGCCATACTCTCCGACTCCGACTCAGCAGCCAAGCGCAACACACAAGAAGACGATGACGTCCCCGTCCCCAACGCCCAAACCGTCAAGAAGCTCGAGGAAATCGCTACAAACAAGCTCGCAGAAATCATAAGGCAATACAAGTCAGGAAACAAGGCCTGGCAAGGCTACGACGAGGCCGAGATCATCGCGGCGCGGGAGCTGTTAGACAGAGACGGCAAGACGGAGCGGTGAGGGACTGCATCCGCAGCAAGTGACTGAAATGGTCATGAAACGGGGCGTTTTGGGCGTCTTTGGTGTAGACACGTGGAATACGTTCCTGGACAAAGTGTTTCCAGCACAGTTGCTAGATACCATTCCAAGTGACTTATTAATCAATCATCAACAAATCATAATGCAAACACCGAGAACATTCACGAGTGCACATGTGTAGCCAGAGATAGAGTGAAGATTGTGCATACAAAGACGCTTAGCAAAGGGTATATATCCATAATTATTATTACGAGAAGAAGCCCGTCAGCTCCCTCTCAATCGCAATTCCCTCGTATGCCCTTTCCCGCTATCTTCGTCCCTGATCAGGTTCAACGCTCCGAAAAAACAACACCGGACCCTTTCATGCAGACCAGAAGAACAAAGATAGATGGATCGTTTCCCAATTCACCCCACACCACAAATGCCCTAATGTGGATATATCTGCCGTCGATGCCAGATGCTAGATGAGATAGCCTAGCGGAGCCGAAACGAAGAAGTAAGAAAAGAATAAGAAAAAGGTAAAACAACGCCTAGAGCTGTTGCAACATGTATATTTTCCTTCGGTTCAACAGAAACAAAAAGAACACCACCTATAAATGCCGGTAAATGAAAAAGAGAAATACAAGAATCTCGGCCATGGGCCATTTTAAATCGCTTCCATATATCTTCAAGAAAGTGGTGGTGGAATGGGGGGAGGAGAAAAGAACAATTAACGGGACTCGTTTCTTCTTGTTGTGTTTCTTTCCCTGGAACCATGATATCCGTTGTACGCGGGCGTTTCTAATGTAATGCGTTTGTAGGTGCGATGAGAAAAAGGTTCGTGTATGCGTCGCGATGGTGCGTAACAACACCTAGATGTTGAGACCGCGAGTGAGATCTTCAAGGCCGGGGCTGTTGTTCTCCTTGCCCTTGGAGTGCTTGTTCTTGCGTGCAGCCATCTTGCCCCAGTCTTCGTCCGCGTCGTCCGTCTCAGCGGGGGCCATCATTTGCGGGCCGGGGCTACCCTTCTTCAAGATGCCCTTGATGGTGCTGGTCCTAGCCTGGTTTGCGCCGCCGCCCGAGGCTTGGAGTGTCATCGAGGTGCCGTTGGAGACGGCGTCGGAGTGGTTGACGACAGGTCGGTACCTAGCAGACAGACCAATGTTAGAACGCTCGGATGGGGCGATGGAGGGAGTGTACCCTGGATTCGGGCCCATGAACGACATGGCGCGCTGCTGTGGTTGGTTTCCGTTGCCTGACATGAAAGACATAGGTCGGTTTTGTCCGTTCGGTACATTGAGGAAACCCCCGCCTCCCATGGTACTGCCCATCGTGCTACCCGCGTAGCCGGGGTTGGGCATCGCCATCGACATCCGGGGATCTTGTTGTTGGGGCTGCTGCTGCATCATCTGTAGCTGCATTTGCTGCATGGCGATCATCTGCTGCATTTGTTGCATCTGCTGCATCTGCTGCATGTAGTCGTTCCCTTGCTGCATTGGGTATCCCATCTGTCCCGTGCCCATTCCCTGCATTTGCCCACCCATCATGGGGTTCATCATGGGGTTCATGCCGTTCATCATGGGCATGTGTGACATCCGCATCGGGTTCTGAGGTTGGCCGTTCGTGTTCATTTGCTGTCCGAGAACACCAGTGAAAGGCCCTCCCTGGGGCTTTTTCGCCGAGGCACCGCCCATGTACTTTTGCTTGGTCATATCCCTCATCTGGATCTGGTCCACGAGCGAAGGCTGCGACATACCAGCATCTTGATACATCATGTTAGGGCCCATGCCCATGTCTCCAGCAATCGAGCCGCCTGCGACTGATCCAGGACCACGCGCAAAGCCATTGAAGCCCATGGACTCTCGGTTCGTCGGCCGTACCAAGCCTCCTCCAATGAAAGAGGAGTTGTACGGATCCTGGGGCAAATGTCTCGCGAAAGCAGGCAGATTGCCTTGGCCCATGCCGCGTTGACTCATGGCACCTGCTGAGGCCGGGCGATCGGGTATGTAGGAAGGCATCGAGTTCGTCGGTTGACTGGGGAATCTGTTGCGAGCTTGACTCGGGAAGCCGTGTTGGGCGAGAATACCCAGCGGTACATCCTCATCTTCCCATTCTTCGGCCTTCATGGAAGTTTCCGACGGGAAGCCCATGTGATCTGCTCCCGGCTCTGCAAGGCCCCCAGGAGCTGTGGTAGACCGTCGCATAGCCTCGCGGGCAAAGTGCATCTGCTGATTCTTGCGTCTCATGAGCTCTTCTTCCTCTCTTCTTTTGATAGCATCCTCCTCGTCCTCGTAGTCTTCGTCGTCGGAGCTTTCCTCAGGTGGTGGCTTGTTCATTTGCTTCTTTTGGTATTCCCTGAATTCGGCCTGCGACATTACTCTCCTACCAGCCGCTGTACCAGGGACGGATGCAGTGTTGCTGTCTGAGGCTACTACGGCAGGTTTCTTTGCGGTCGTGATTTGTTGCTTGGGAGCAGGCTTTGACGGCGCAAACAAGTCTTCGTCCTCAGCGTCATTGTATGGAGAGGCCGTCCGAGCGAGGGAAGCTTTGGGGGTTGTGTTCGTGGTCGTGCTCGAAACAGTGGCTGATCGAGATGAATAGGGGGTCTGGTAAGAATTGGCAGACGACGTTGAGGTGGAGTTGAGCTGTTGTTCCGGAGAGCTTTCGCGATATGACTTCCTATCGGTATATGATTTGCGTACGAACTGTGCATCTGCATCTTCGAAAGTAGGTGCTGGCTGGAAGGTAGGGCTTTCTGAGGCGACTGGCGCATACGATGAGTATTTGTGGGGAGGCGGCGGCGGCGGCGGCGGCGAGTCGTTGTCTGAGTTCGGAGAAGCCATGAGGTTGTCGGTAGAGTTGCGACTGTCCCAGCTCTTCATTGGCGGTTCAATGCCAGTGGGCGGTAGAATCTTGATGGGTTCTGCTTGGAACGTGCGCTTCTCCGAAAGCAGTGAGCGTCCTGCGGTCTCTCGTTGAATTTCGGGAGATTCCTTGCGGCTTAAATGGCCAAACATGTCGTCCTCAAAGCCGCCGAAGTTCAGATCCCCCTCGAGCTTGGGCGGGACTGCAGTGCTCGCGTAGCTGGATGTGGTCATGGCGCGATTTCTGCCACTCCACCCTGTCCCTGACAGATCCTTGTATGAGGAGACGCCGGAGCTTGACTTGGGCAATGAGGGAAGATTCTTGCGGAAAGCGCTCACCGACGACGGAGCCGGAGAGCTGTTGTGTTGTGAGACGGCCGGTCGAGGGATATTAGTAAAGAGGTTGTCGTCGGAGCTGGTGTCGGTGGAAGAAGGAAGTGTAGAGGTGGAGCCATGTTGGCCATTGGCGTAGGGTCTCGAATTGGAAAATTGAGTCCCACTGCTTGACTTGCTGTCGCTAATTAAAGGGTCAGTCCGGCCGACGCTATGACTAGTGGATACGAAGCTTACCGTTTTGACGATCCTGGAGACTCATCGTCAACGGACTGGTTGCGATTTTTGCTGCCAGGATGGCTGAAGCCGCTGAAGCGAGGAAACTTTGATGATCTCTCTTTTTCCTGTGTCTTGCGCTGCTCTTTTGCCTTTTCTACTTCCGTCTTGCTCAGCACCCGGAAGGCACCAGAATCAGCGGGTGCAGTTGTGGTGACTGGGCTCGTTGCGATGTCGACTTCGTCGAACACATTGCCCTGAGACTTCCGACGGGCGGTGAATATCCCTAGGCCTGGCTTGCCCATGTTGACGAGTTGTGGTTTCCAAGTACGAGAAGCGACCAATGCCTCGGGCGGCCTATTCTGATGTGAGATGCGCTATCATATACTCCAAGACGGGCGATGCGTGGCGGTTGTGGTCGAGGAAGGAGCGACGGGTGCGGTCAGGAAGGAGCCAAACGTGGGGATGGACAGGTAACGAATGGACGACTTGATCTAAACGTCTGGTATTAGCTCTGATTTGCGTGCCACTGGCGATTCAGGGTGCTGGCGCAGTGTCGAGAGATGAAGTGAGCGGGCGCGGCGGGTGTTGCTGTGAGAGCTGAGTCGGGAGCGTCGTTGAGGGCAACTTCGTATTACCGCGTTTCAACGTCAGGGCCGTGTCGATCTAGCCGCGTATTGATAATATTATGCGCCTCGAGGGATTCGCTTGCAATACGCGGGGGCAGGAAAGCTCGTCGTGGCAAGATGCGCCTCTGCCACTTTCCAGCGCATCGCCTGGGCCGCTTGTTGGTTTCGAGTGCGGCGTTGCTCAATCCTTCCGGGGCCCGGGAGTTGGGTGGGTTGGGTGTGCGACTTACCAGACACGAGGCGGGTAGCAGCAGCAGCACCTGTTCAACGAGTGACAATGTCTAATTGCAGACGGCGGAGACGCGATGATGTAGTCGGAGGGCACGCGCGGAGAAAACGGCGGGATCATGAACGAGTATAAGGGCGCGCACGGATGGCACAAAGCGTAGTCAGGAGTGCGCCGTCCCATCATCTTCACTCAACTGCCCACTGCCTTCTCGCTCGGCCGGGCCTGCATCTGCCTAGGTACCGAACCAATGGCATCCGCCCGCAGTAGGCATAGCGCCAAATCGAGCGGCCATGAACTGCCATGTTGGGTTTTGCCATGTACAATTGCGTCTTGACGGCCATTGAAGTTTGCCCACGGCGCGCCAAACGCTGGTACGATTCATCCTGTCTTGCACGTAGCTGCGAGGCTGCCGTGCAGCTTCACACATAAGCCCTACTACCTGTTGAGTCGACGGCTGCAAACTGCTGGTCGAGGGTGCTGGTACAGTAGTGTAGCCTCCTAGTCCGACCACCATCCATGTCCGGGACCCTCATGCCAAAATTAGATGGCTAGGCCAAGAGGACTCATCAACCATGGTCTTTCCAGGGCCGCACGCTCGTTGCTCGCTACCTGATAACAACGCCTGATCGACAGTATCGACGCGCAGTCCGGTCGACGTCATCAACACTTGCCATGTGCAAATTCTCACTGCGCCTGGTGTTTCGGCCCTGGACACAAGACCCTTCGTATTAC